ACGCAGCAGCAGGAGAAACCCCAGGCTCAGCAGCTCCAGACGCAGCACCCCCAGGCTCAGCAGCTCCCGACCCAGCACCCCCAGACCCATCACCTCCAGGCACAGCACCCCCCTGCTCAGCACCCCCAGGCTCCGCACTCTCCGCAGTAGCACCCGCAGGCCCAGTACCCCCAGCAGTAGCACCCCCAGGCTCAGCACCCCCGCGCACAGCACCCCCAGAGTCAGCACCCCCAGGCTCAGCACCCGCAGCAGCACCAGAGTCACCTGTAACCTCGACCGGGTCAACGGCGTCTACCTGGGACACACCTGAGGGGGCAGGAACCTGAGGGGGGAGGGGGTCTACCGGGGGGGGAACCGGTACAAGGAAGTCCGGGGGAGGGGGGAGGGAAGGAGTGCGGTAGGGGAAGAGACGGTAGAAGGGGACTGACTCGTCGAACGTGACGTCCTGGGAGGACAGAACACGACGAGAGGAGGGGTGGTAAAACTGCCACCCTGGGGCGTCAGTGGGGAAGCCAAGGAAGACACAGGGAGCAGCACGAGGGGACAGCTTGTCCGCAGACAAGTCGCGGACAAACGCCCGAGATCCCCAGACACGGAACACAGACGCATCGCCAACCTTCCATGTCCACAGCAAGGCTGGGGACATCGCAGGCCGAGAGACCCGGGGGTGAAGGTTGAGCTGATGCGCCGCGTACCTCACCGCAAACGGCCACAGAAAATGGGGGGCAGCCGCATGCATCATGGACGTACGAGCGACATCCATGACCATGCCAATGCGGCGCTCAGCAATCCCATTTTGCTGTGGTGAGTCCGGAAGCGTGAAGGACTGGCGGATGCCTCGCGCACGACAGTAGGCACGCAGAAGGCCAGAGGAGAACTCTCCGCCTCTGTCCGAGTGCAGACGCAGAACAGGAAAGTCCGAGCCGAAGCTCTTCCTGAGCCGGAGACGAGCCTCGCGGATCCAGTCGATCAGCACCTCAGTGACCTCACCCTTGCTGCGCAAGGGGAGGACTGTGGTGTAACGCGAGTAGTCGTCAACCACCAACAGGAAGTAGCGCTCGTAATCCTGCCCACGGACGGGGGCTGGGCCCCACACATCCATGTGAAGCGTCTGCAGGGGAGCCTCTGTCGGGGGGAAGTGGGAGGAGTGAGGAGTAGCCCGGAGGCGACCCTCGACACAGGGGACACAGGAAGGTCCTGGCCCGGAGGGGAGAGGAGGGAGAGACTGGGGAAGACCAGAGACAAGGACACGGGAAGCCATGCTCCGAAGACGGGGCAAGGAGGGGTGGCCAAGACGGTGGTGCCACAGGAGAGTCTCGTGAGACAGGAGGCGACAAGTACAGGGGGCAGACTCAGGACCAGACCTGGACGCAGCAGCAAACACCTGACCCGACGCTGCTACCTGACCGGACGCGGGGACAGGAGGAGACTCAGTGGTCAGGATGTAGAGGCTCGACCCCGGCCGACGCGAGAACGTGGCCAGGTGCCGGCCTGTGCGTGCGTCCGTGCAGTGGGTCACCCGCTGACTCGCAGGAGTGAACTGGTGAACCCCCGCATCTTGTAGGTCTGCACCACTCACCAAGTTCGTCGAGAACGAGGGGAGGTACAGGCCAGACAGGGTGCCCGAGGGGGCAGCCGGACACGGGAGAACAGTGGAGAAGTGAGCGAGGACAGGACCCCCAGAGGGGTCAGCCAGGGAGACTGCAACCGGCCGACCTAGCGGCGTGAGTGTGGTGCGGTCCCGAAAGAAGGAGCGAGAAGCCCCAGAGTCAAGTGTAAAGGTGAGGGAGGCCGAAGCCAACGCGGTACCTGAGAGCGCAGCCTCACCCGCACCTGAGGAAGCAGACTCACTAGCACCTAGAGCAGCAGCCGCACCTGTACCTGGAGCAGGAGACTCACTAGCACCCAGAGCAGCAGCCTCACCCGTAGCTAGAGCAGCAGGTCCTATACCTGGGTCAGGCGGGACGCACAGGTGACCTGCACGGTCAGCACTAGTAGGCAATGCATACATGGCAGTGAGAATAGCATCATAGTCAAGAGCATATATATCTACCCTCTGCCTAAGCAACTCCACCCAGTCGGGAAGCTCAGCCTCGTCGCCAAACACGGTACACCAGGCGTCGCTCAGACGGGCGAAGCAGCGGGACGGTGTATGACTACGTGTCCCACAAGGCTGACCAGTCCGAGTACGAGTGCGAATCACGTAAGAGCAGCGAACAGCACTAAGAGACCCTCCACTCTGAGCGTACCACTCACGAAGATGCCGAGGCGTGAGAGACACGCGAGAGGGTCGCGGGAGCTGCATCTGGCCGCCACCACGAGTAGAAGCAGCAGGAGTGGTAGTAGGAGTAGCGTCGCCACCCCTACAGCCCCAACGAGCGTACCACTCACGCAGCTGCTGCGGCGTGAGGGACTCACGCCGGCGTCGCTGGGGCTGCATTTGGCTCCGCAAGTAGAAGCAGGAGCAGGACTAGCAGCAGGGAGGCAGGCAGCCAGGCAAGCCAAAAGGCAGGCAGGCAGGCAAGCAGGCGACGCGCAGCGTCCTAGCAGGGCAAGAGCTCACCAGTGGTGGGAAGAGTAGGTTCGGCGACTCAGCGGCTCGGCAGCTCGGCGGCTCGGCGGCTCGGGCGACTCGGGCGGCTCGGCGGCAAGGCGGCTCAGCAGCAACTGCAGCTCAGTAGCTCGGTGACTCGGCGGCTCGGCGGCAGGGCGGCTCGGCAGCAACTGCAGCTCAGCAGCTCAGCGACCCGGCGGCTCGGCGGCAGGGCGGCTCGGCTGTGGGGCGGCTCGGCTGCTGCAGGGGAGATGAAGGAGGAGGAGAAGCAGGGGAGGCCACACACCTGCCACCCCTCTGCTGGCCACACACCGCAAGCGGCCCCCTCAGGTCGCCTCGACAGGCGACGGGAAAAGGGGGGGTGGGTGGTGGGGGGCCGGTAGGTGCAGCGGCGGGGCCAGCAGGTGCAGTTGCGGGGCCGGTAGAAGGGGACGGCAGGAGCCGTCAGGAGGGGACGGCGGGGCCGTCAGGAAGGGACGGCGGGGCCGTCAGGAGGTGACCGGGCCGCGACGGGGGCAGGCGGCGGGGCCGCGTAAGGTCCTGGGCGGGGCCGCGACAGAGCCGTCGGCGGGGCCGCGTGAAAGCCGGGGCGGGGCCGCGTAGAAGCCGGGGCGGGGCCGCGCGAGAGCAGGCGGCGGGGCCGCGAAGGAGCCGGGGCGGGGCCGCGTGAGAGCAGGCGGCGGAGCCGCGTAAGGGCCTGGGCGGGGCCGCGACAAAGCCGTCGGCGGGGCCGCGTGAAAGCCGGGGCGGGGCCGCGTAGAAGCCGGGGCGGGGCCGCGCGAGAGCAGGCGGCGGGGCCGCGAAGGAGCCGGGGCGGGGCCGCGTGAGAGCAGGCGGCGGGGCCGCGACAGAGAGGGCGGCGGGGCCGCGTCAGTGAAGGCGGCGGGGCCGCAGGGGAAATGGCGACCCGAGGGGTCGCTAAAAAAAAAAGATCGCGCCTCGGGGGGCGCTTCGGTGGGCCCAAAAAAAACGGTCCGTAGAAGGACCCGCTCTATACCATGTGAGAATAAGCGAACAGGAATGAATGAACTAGCAGTGAAATGAGTACAAGTAGGAAACCCTAGAATTGTGTACCCCCTATAGGCTAACCCACTGTAGCCTACACAAGCATAACATATATAATGTTTGACACCGTTCGCTGCCTATCCTCCTCTTCGAAGTCACGTATGAGCGCATCCAATGGATTGCTCATCGCCTCACTGTTGCCCTCGCCTTTGTCCACAGGCGACTCCTGACGCGCTTCACCTCGCGTCTGGCGTAGTTCGGCGTTTTCTTCTCGCAGTGTCGTCACTTCCGCCATTAACGTCTTCATGCTTTCCTGCATTTCTGCCACTTGCGCCATCATCCTGTTGACCGCTTCCTGATCCATATGCCTAACGCTTCGTCTGGTGGGCAATCGGGTCTCCGTGGCCTTCACGCAAATGAAAACACGAACTATCGGAGTCGGGCAGGATTGAATTAACAATCCCTGCAGCCAACCGTCGTGTAGTCACTAAACCAGCCACACCCTATGCCACCAAACTACCCTCGGAAAAGCGGGGTGAACTAGGAAAGTAGCTCTGATACCAGGTGTTATGAGTTGTAAAGAGAGTGCGCAGGTAAACGAATAACGAAGCTGTGACTGAATCAACTGCGAATACAATGAATGCACAGACTAATGTAGGACTACTCTAGCTTGGAGGAAACCTCGGACGAGCGAGGTTGGGTGCAGGTTTAGCGATGGGAAAGCCGAAGGCGACGTGAGGAGCCTCGGCAGCGTTGAAATCGGCCAAACGTGCGAACTCCGAAAATCGGGTTGTACGCGAAGCAGTCAACCCCGATAAGGAATTCGGGAAAATTCCTTACACGCACTGTCAAGACGAACGAACCGGGTAACCTATGATGTTGACGTGCGGCTCGGCTCGTTTTTACAAGTTCGAATGTCGGGGTTCGACCTTGTATGTGTGTGTGATTTTTTACAGTGTGGTAAGCCCGATGTTCGAACTTAGATAGAAGGAAATTCGAACTTTTTTCGTTGTAAGTTCAAAACTAAAATTCGCCCTAATAACATAAACTTTTACAAATTTCAAAGATCACACGCGCCCTAAAGAACGGTTTCCAAATCGATGCAAAGGGGTTTCGATCTCAAGGGGTGTTCGAGTTTCCCCTTCAGAATTTCAGGCAGCTACCCCGCTCGTGTGTGGCCAGCGTCGGGCAGTATGTACGTGCATGTGGCGAATGTGTGAGGTATCTGCTGTCTGACTTCGACAATCCCTCTGCAATGCCGAATTTGAGGAAATTCGAAATCGAGATCTGAAATGTCGAAATTTTCAAATATCAATTTCCGGATTTCCCAAACCTCAATTTCTATTTTCCGAACCTCTATTTTTCAATTTCAAATTCCTCATTCCCGAACCTCAATTTCTCAATGTGCGGATCAGGCCGAGCCTAGGGCGCATCAGAGCTGATGCGCCCGCAGAACGCAGCCCAGCTGGTGTGTCACATCACATCCATGCGATACTGCACTACGCATGGATGTGATGTGACACATCATCGGCCCTTCGCAGGACGGCGAACACAACATACAGGCTGCCCTAGAAATCACCGAAACTTGAATTCGCTTGCTCCAGGCACAGTCTCTTCCGTCGCATAGCGACGAAGCCCAATTTTCTTCGTCGCGAGAGTCGCTTTTCAATGAAAGGGAGTTGCTCCTGGCGTCGTCCATGCTTTACAGCCGTCGGATCAGGTCGTATAGGCTCATGATCCAGCCCAAAAGTTTCAGGAGGCTCTCCTCTTCCCCATCAAATTGCCAATGTAATCGAAGTGCTCGAATTTTATTGGCGTAGCATTGATCAGCTTCCCAAAGGCTAGTGACTGAACCGAGGGGAGGATCGCAGAGCCCAGGCACACAGCAACCATCCGCGAATTATCACCGTGCAAGAAGATAAGAGCCATGTTTCCACGCATTTCCCATATCTCGTTAGAATCACCACTAGCCTCCTCGCTACAGCCGTCCGTGCCGCGATTAAATCCAAGGCGTGTCGACACCAATGCTGCAGCGGTGGCAGCGACTACATTATCCGAATAGTCTAGTTCGAGGGGGTTGCTAGACTTGCCATCTCTCGTGGGAGACTTTGACTCGCATTGACTGGGCGATCCACCAAGAGCGTGAGCCTAACAGGTAGGAAGTACTTTATCACTCAACTTGACCCATTCACCTTGCGAGCTCTGTGGATATTCTAATTGCTAGATTATCTGTAGCAATGGAGCGCTCCGTACCTTTCTGATTCCCATCCTTTTCCATCATTTCTTAATTAAATTTCTTTCTTCTCTCATCCTCTCTGTACCAATGTTCTGCTCCGTGAACCCCCACACCGGCTCATCCATGTCAGCACCTAACACGTCAGCACCTTCCAAGTCAGCATCATCCATGGCGTCTGGTGGCGAAGATGCGGCACCGTTCAGGCAGATGAGTACGGAGGAGCACTGGTGGTGGGGTACGCCGGAGCGCCTTATGACGAACTGGCACGGCCAATGGCGATGCTGGAAGCCGCTCGAATCAACGGACGCGATCCGATCCTTTAAATCCGTGCGGAAATTTTGGGCCACGTCACCCGATCGCAGCAGTTTCGCTCACATGGTGAGCCACACATACTTTTTTCCTCCCTCCCTTATCCCTTTTTTTTCTCTTCCCCATCCCGACCATCCTCCCACCCCTCCCCACCACCTCTCCCCCTCCCCCTTCCCCCGCAACCCCGCGTGTAGCTCCTGTTCTCCTTTGCCTTGTCGTTTTCCTCGCATTGTGACGCACGCCCACTGTGGCGCAGCACAGCGTGCCTTTTCAATCGATTCAAATGTCACCCGCGCACTATCCCCCATGCTATCCCTCCCCTGTTCTACCGCCGAACGACTTTTACGACGAGCAGGGCGAGGTTCCCAAGTTTCGGCCCCAGTCGGGGCGAGGTCCAGTGAGACATGTCACTCGCGGAGTACAGCCCGCCTTTTCAGTCCACTCAAATTCCACCCTCGCACTCTCCCCCCTCACACTCTCACCCCACGCTCTCCCCTCGCACTCTTCCCCACGCTCTCTCCCTCGCCTCCCCTGCTTCAGAACGACTTTTACGACGAGCAGGGCGAGGTTCCCAAGTTTCGGCCTCCGGTCGGCGTCCAATGGGACATGTCACTCGCGGAGCACAGCCTGCCAGACGGATTCTGCCACGTGGCAGTCGGCACAGCGCGCCGCCACTCCGTCAGCAGGGAGGGGGACGGGATCTGGGGCCCTCTGGAGGTGGGGGATGGTGCGGGCGGCATCAAGCCTTTTGTGGAAGAGTTTTTCTTCTCCCACAGTGAGTGGTCCTTGCAGCTGGCACAACCTCCCACAGTGAGTGGTCCTTGCAGCTGGCACAACCTCCCACAATCTCCCAAGTAGACACCCACCAGGCAGGTGCATCAAATCTGGAGGTGGGGGTGGGGCGGGGGGCATCAAGCCTTTTGTGGAAGAGTTCTTCTTCTCCCACTGTGAGTCATGGCTGCTGCAATCGTTTTGGTCTCTCGAACTGCTCCCTCAGCAGGAAAGGCGCGTATGTTTTCGAGGTGCTCCAAAATGAGCTCCCTCTGCTGGCGATTACGAGGTTTTTTTTCTTCTTCTTCTTTTTTCTTTTTGGAAGGAGGGGAAAGGGGGGTGGAGGCGGGTGGCGGCTTTGTTTGATTTTCCATTTCAGCTCCCACGCCTCGTCTCAGCACCATTGCCCAATTCGATCACCAAGCTAATGCGGAACTTCTCTCTCCTTTCACAACTCCTTTGCTCCCCTTTCTCGTCAGCCCCCACGTCTCGTTTTGGCTGCATGGTTGGATTCGATCCGGAAGGAGCGTTGCGCGCCTACGTGGTGGTTGAGGATTCGCTAGACACCAACGAACGCCGTCCCTCCGACTGGGTCTGGCCCACGTGGGGCCCCGGCGGCGTCCCGTCCTGTCTGCCCGACCACCTGCCGCCCGTTCCGGCACTAGATGACAAGACAATGGTGGGAACTCGCACCGTTCTGACTCGCAACCTGATGGTTCAGGAGCGGGAGAACGTGTCCTGGGAAGAAGAATGGGGCCCTAACAGCACTGCCGCTGCCGCCGCCGCAGCTGCTTCTGCTTCAGATGAAAAGTCCGTTGCAGCGGACGCAGCAGCGGCTGGGTTCATGGGGCGAGTGCCAGAGGGAGACGAGGAGAGGTACGCGGTGTTTGCTCTGCCGCACGGGGTGGTGGTGTGCGCCCCGCGCTCCCGACAGCTGGTGGCGGGGAGGCCGTTTGTGCTGTCGGTGTCGTGGGTGGTGGGGGAGGGCGAGGTGAAGCGGATCACTGCCACTTGGGGGGCTGGCGGGGGCTTTGAGAGGGTGGAGGGCGAGTGGTACAGGAGACAGGCGTGAAAGGGGAGCAATGGTGTGTAGGAGATTGAAACGAAGGGATGGATATGTTTCTTGGGGACGTGGGTGAAGGCGTGGGTCCGCTGCCACTTCAGCCAGCGCTGGTCAGTGGCCCTCCAGCGCTCCCAGGCGAACGCCCTGCACACCAGGGCCAGGGCTGGGATCGAGGCAGCGCACCCCCAGATGGCAGCGGACCCCTGGCCGCTGCACCTGGGGGACATCCTCCACACGCTGGAGGGGTAGAGGGTCACTCAGGGGGTGGGGGAAGAGAGGTGGGTTCATGAGTTTAAGGGATTGAGGCTAACATGGATAGAACTGCATGTTTGTACCCCTGCTAACAAGGGAGAGAGAGAGAGAGAGAGAGAGAGAGAGAGAGAGAGAGAGAGAGAGAGAGAGAGAGAGAGAGAGAGAGAGAGAGAGAGAGAGGTGGCTGTGTGTGTGTGTGGGGCTGTGTGTGTGTGTGTGTGTGTCGCTGTGTGTGTGTGTGTGTATGACTGTTGTGTGGCTGTGTGTGTGTGGGTGTGGCTGTGTGTGTGTGTATGTTGCTGTGTGGTGTGTGTGTGTGTGCGTGTGTGTGTGTATGTGTGTGTGTGTGTGGCTCTGTGTGTGTGGCTGTGTGTGTGTGTGGCTGTGTGTGTGTCTCTACACTGCACCCGTTTCACTGCAGCAAGCAGTGGCGGGGGAGAGAGGGTGGGTTAGGCTGGTGATGCAAGCACGCGGTATTGTCGAACTCTGAACTGTACATCACATCTGCTTTGAATAGGACGTGCGTGTTGAATGCAATGGTGTACCCTCATCATCATACCGATGACTCATCATACATCACATGAAAGAGGTGTTTCTTTTGTCAGCGTGTGGGTGGGCCTTTACCGTATCATACCATATGACACATAAACGAGGTGTTCTTTATTTTGTCCGGTTTACACTGTTCTGGATACAACTGCCATGTCAAATCACATGTGGATAACAGCAAAGGAGAATCAGTCCAACTTGTTCAGAACCAATACATGGTCAACAAATCATTCTGGACCGGACTACACTTGGCTACTGTGCCGGTTTGTCAACATCAGCATCTAAACACTAGAGACACCATACACTAAGGATATTCGATAAAAATAGGTAGTTGAGGGAAGGCAAGAAAAGGGGAAGGAGGGAGAGGAGAGAGAGAAGGATTCCTTCCGTCAGAGGAAGGGAGAGAAGGAGATCAGAGTCCTCACTAGTCCCCCGTGCAACATAACCCATCCGTCCAGGTCCTCTTACTCATCCCCTCTCATGTTGTTCCCTTCCTCCGCTCCCCACCCTTTTGAGTCGACTCACTAGTTCCCCGTGCAACATAACCCAACCGTCCAGGTCCTCTTACCCATCCCCACTCATGTCCTTGCCCCCTCCTCCGCGCCCCACCCCTCACCCCCTTCTTTCACCATTCATCTTCTGGGATCAACTCTTCTCCAGCGTGCCTCCAGCCTTCAGCAGCCTCTCGCCACGCCACAGCAACAGCAAACACATACTCGCCGCGCTCGTACTTGTCCTTCTCAAACACAATAAACCCATCCAAGTCCTCATACTCGTCCTCTCCCGTGTGCATCCCCTCTCTCCTCTCCGCCTCCACAAGTTCTGCAATGTACGCGTTCCGCCTCCTCCTCCCTCCTGCGTTCCGCCTCCTCCTCCCTCTCCTCCCTCCCGCCTCCCCTGTCATGCCCTCGCTCTTTTCGCTCTCCTCTCCTCCCCCCATGCCTTCGCTCTCCCCCAACCCTTCCCTCTCCTCTCTTCCCACTTGGTCACTCTCCTCTCCTCCTGCTCCATTTCCTACTCCTTTCCCTCCCATGTTTCCTCCCCCTTCCCCTCCCAACTCGCCTCCTCCTTCCCCTCCTACCTCTCCTCCTTTACTCCCCCCCACTGCCCTCCTTCTGCTTCCCTTACTTGCCCCACTCCCCCCTACCTTAACCCCACTCCCCTCACTCTTTCCCTCTCCCTTCGCCCCACTCCCCCTCGTCCTCCCCCCACTACCCCCACCCTTCCGCGCATTCTTCCTCCCACTCCCTCCTGCAGCCTCCTCCCCAGTTCCAGCCGCCCCAGACTCTTCCACAGCAGATTCCTGTCCCTTCTCCTCATGCGTGTCGCCAACTTTGCTAGCAGAACCAGCGGAACCAGAAGGCTTATCCTTCCTCATTGGTTTATTCTCTGCCTCTGCGGCATTCTTCCCCATGCACCACTCCGCTTCTTCCTCAGCCCCTCCTTCCCCCTCCCCTTCTCCCACCACTTCCTGCTCTCCTCCCCCTTCCATCTCCTTCTGCTGCTGCCGCCCACTGTGCCGCCCACTGTGCCACCCATTGTGCCGCCCACCGCCTTGCTCCGCTTCCACTCTCTTCAGCACCGTGCTGTTACGCAGTAACCTGGTAACCCTGCCCTGCCCTCCTCGCTCACACTGCTTAACCTTCCCTCCCTTCTCACACTGTTTCCCCTGTGCTGCCTTTTTCCGCTGCTCCTCCTTCACCTGCCCCCCAACCACTTCCAACTCCTCCACACCCACGGCACTGGTGTTCCCCCCTTTCACCTCCATACCCTCTTTCTCTTCCACCTCTGTATACAACCCCACCCCCACCACTATCTCTTCATCCCCGCACGCTTTTTTCTCCTTGCTCCCTTCCTCCCCGCCCCCAACCCTCTCCTCTCCCCCAACCCTTTCCTCACCCCCAACCCTTTCCTCGCCCCCCTCCCTCTCCTCGCTCCCCTCCTCCTCTTCAGTCAAATCCACAACCTCGCACTTTAGCGCTCCTGCCTCTCCTGTATTTTCCATTTCCTCCGCCACAGTTTTCTTTCCCCAATCCATCCCCTTCGTCTTTCCCCCCTCCCCCTCCGCTAACTTTCCTCCCTCCCGCTCCTCCTTCACCCTCCCCATCTCCCCCAGTTCCTCCGCCCCCCCTACCTTCCCCGCCCAAGCTGCCTCCCCCTGCAGGCTCGGGCTCTTGCCCCGTCCCGGTCCCCGCCCCCCTCCCCGTCCCCGCCCCCTTTCCCCCGCTCCCTTCCTCACTACCGACATTTGCTGCCGCCCCACCTTCCCTGCAGCGCCTGACCCCTCGCCAACTCCTTCCGCCAATTTCTCCGCCTCCTCCGCCTTCGCCGACTCTACCACCTCTTCCGCCGCATAGAGACCGCCTTCGCCAACTGCCCGCTCCGCCTCCCCCACTTCCCCTACCTCCTTCACTTCCTTTGCCTCTTCCACCTCCCCTACTTCCCCCACCTCCTTTACCTCCCCCACCTCCTTTACCTCCCCCACTTCCTTTACCTCCCCCACCTCCTTTACCTCCGCCACCTCCCTCACCTCCGCCACCTCCGCCACCTCCGCCACTTCCTTTGCCTCTTTCACCTCCTCTACCTCCCTCATTTCCTCTACCTCCCTCACTTCATCTACCTCCCTCATTTCCTCTACCTCCGCCGCTTCTAGCACCGCCGCGTTTTGTGGTGCCTCATGGTAACCCATTGTGAAACCTGCCCGCTGCACATCCCCCATCTCCTTCACCTCCTCCACTTCCTCCGCCTCCTCCACTTTTACCAACTCTACCGCCTCTTCGGCCACATAGAGACCGCCTTGACCACCTGCCCGCTGCACATCCCCCACCTCCTTCACCTCCTCCACCTCCTCCGTTTCTTTCACTTCCTCCGCTTCCTCCGCTTCCCCCACTTCCCCCACTTCCTCCTCTTCCTCAACTTCCCCCACTTCCTCCGCTTCCTCAACTTCCCCCACATCCTCCGCTTCCCCCAATTCCTCCGCTTCCCCCACTTCCTCCACATCCTCCGCGTCCTCTGCCGCATTTCCCCACACCACTTTCGACTCCATCTGACCCCAAACCCCCCCCTCCCCTTTCACGGCCCCCTCCTCCTTCACTTCCTCCGCTTCCTCCGCTTCCTCCATGTCCTCCGCTACCTCCGCTTCCTCCGCTACCTCCGCTTCCTCCGCTACCTCCGCTTCCTCCGCTACCCCCGCTTCCTCCGCTACCTCCGCTTCGTCCATGTCCTCCGCCAGCACCATTTTCCACTTCAAGTGACCCCACGAGGACTTTAGAGTCGACTCAAATCCTCCCCCTTCACCGCTTCCCCCTCCTCCACCTGCGCCTCCACCTGCGCCTCCACCTCCCCTCCAGGCAACAGCCTTCCTTCTCGAAGCGCGGGTAATCCTCGCTGTGTCGTTTCCCCTTCCCGACAATTCCTCCATCTCCGCTGTAAACTCACTCCTTTTAAGCAACGTAAACGAGTGCAGCTTGCGCAGCTCCCTGTCCTTGCGCCTCGTGACCTCTTTACACGCACTCCTTCGTAATAATGAGTACGAGTGCAGCATGCGCAGCTCCCTGCTCGACCCTCGCACTTCCCTGCTCGACTCTCGCACCCCGCTGCCCGACTCTCGCCTCGATACTTCCCAAGGTACAATGGCCAAGGGAGACTCCCCACCCCGCGGCTCCTTCTTCACATCCTTCGCATCCACTCTCGACGTTCTTCGAGCCGTCCTTTCCGAGCCTTCGGCTGTCGATTTATGAGAATTGTCCGAAGTTTTAGCCCACGACTCCTCCCCTCCGGCACCCGCTGATTCTGGACCCTTGGGTTCGAAAACCACCAGAGCTTTTCCGTTATCCGCGTCCTCATTACTAGCTACGGATGCGATCTTCAGCTTCTTCCGCACACCTTGTCTCTCGACTTCAGAAACCCGTTCCTTCTTGCGGGTATATCGATGCCTCGGCCCACTATCCAGCTTCAGAGGGGTGCTTATAGTGTCAAATTTCGATGCGGCAGCGGGCTGCGGTATCGCCATCTCGTTCGGACGCTTCTTAACGATGACCGTCGTTCTTTTTCCCATCTGGCTTGATCGGCTAGCCTCCGTATTCTGCCCACTTAAGCCCACCTCGTTGGCTCGATATTAAATACCGAGTCAAACAGATGCTCCCCTACTTTCCTTTTAGTATACGGCGGTGTTGGCGAGTGGCTGCGTGAACCAAGTCCTCTAAAAAGTC